TTGGGTGTAGCCAGTGGCGTAGGCAGGGGGGGTTAGGGGGGTCATAACCCCCCCATAGACCCCTCGGTATATATATATATATATATATATATAAAGTATTAGGGGGGGGTGCAAAACGAAAGTTTGAGGGGGGTGCAAATCGAAAGTTTGAGGGGCGGGTGCAAATCGAAAGTTTGGGGGGGGGGGGGTGCAAATCGAAAGTTTGAGGGGGGGGGGATGCAAATCGAAATTTGTCCCCGGGTAAAAATTGGAACCCCCCCCCCCCCCCATTGAGACGATCCTGGCTACGCCACTGGGTGTAGCATTGTTTTCTCTATAATTAAACATTGCTACTCGTATCGCGCAACTTTAATCATTTTATTATTTAGCTTTGCTCTTGTTATTGATAATATATGAAACTTGACAATTTAGTGTTAGAAATTGAAACTTTAAAGGGTTGAAGTATGTCATTCCTTTTTTTTTTATTTGAATTTTAACTGTATGAGACTCAAGCCTAAATTGAAGTGTCTAAACTTCGACATTTAAATTCATTTGTCAAAGTGTTTATCGCTTTAAAAAGATAACTTTAATTTAAAAAATTAACTACACATTTATTTAGAGGATGGCGGTTGATGCTGTCTCAACACTTATTATTGTTTTTTTTTTTTTTAATTTATTTTAAAGGCATAATGACTAAATACGACACATTATTTTATTACTTAATGTGTCTGCTTAGTTAGCTCATTGCATGAATCTTAATTTTACTTTGTCGACTTAAAATATGTAATGGTCAAACCATTTTTTTAAAAATATTATTTTGTTATCGTTAAACGAGAGGATTAATTAATCAGCAGAAGATGAAAAAATTCGGAGGGTTTCTAAATGTTTTTTTTAACTATGGCGTATCTTGAACTAAACTTCGCAACGAAACGAACCAGACGTACAAACCAAAGGAAACAATTAACAGTTAACCCCTACAGTGGACTGGTTCTGTCGGCTCAAGTTTCGGGGATTTACCGGCAACTGACGGAGAACTGTTCCGGGGGATTTGCCGGCAACTGACGGAAAAGTGTCAAATGTTGAAGGTAACAAAACACTTGGCGAAAGGTTGCATGCTTCAAATATTCGAGTGCGACGGGGTTCGGGTTCAAAGGGTTCTGGGGGTTTTGGTAAAGGACAGCTGAAATGTGGCTAAGAACACTGTGTAAACCACAGAGGAAATTTTAAAAAAAAACGTACTCTGGGTTTTGTTAAAATCAACAAATCAATACAAGATGTTCTCAAAACAAAACAACTTGGATAACTTTTCGTTTGCTTCAAGTATGTGTTTGTATGACTTGCGTATAAATATATAATGATAATAAAAAAAAATGATAGATCTTGTGTGTTTTAGAAGACTGATAAAATATTAAACCGTGTACTAGAGATTTTCCAAAAGCACGTGTGTAGTTTTAACGCGTGTTGCTTTCAGACATTTGAAACCTTGGGAGGGTGCACTTGAAACTTCAGTAGAGGGGTAAGGGCGGACGCTGGTTGAAGTATATTTTTTCTATATACATAATATATGGTTCCTACTTCGTCCGAAGATGATGGGTGGGGGGGGGGGTGAAGTACTCGATTGGGGTGAGTGGGGTGCAGTCAATGTCTCTAAACAAGTTCATGCTTTTTTTATTTACCAAACCACATAATTAACCCACATAGAATATTAACACTTTCTCATTTCTCTATTTAAAAAAAAATCATTCTTTAACATCCGAAAAAAAAACTGATCTCTCTTTTAAGTAGACTAAAAACTCGCCAAAATAATGTGCATGGTGGGGTGGGGGTGGGGAATGAACATGTCTGCAAACAAGATAAACGCCATGGAAAAATTAAGGTTAATTGTGTATGTGTAAATAATGTTTAGAATAAAAGTCTGAGTTCTAACTCTAATAGATGCAATGACTCTGATAGAGGCAATATTCTGACTAGTATTCAATATGCATACAATGAACTAGTAGGCTAGCATAATTTAGAATGTAACTCAAGGCTCCCTGTATAAAAACTGTGAACTCCGTCCAAGAGATAAACGTCTGTTGCGTGTTTAATTAGAATATAATCAGCGAACAATCTGTAGAATGTAACATAAAGTCAAGTAGGGCAACCGCATGGAACTTGTGAGAACCGCTGGTATAGACACGCTTCTACCAGCGCGACACAATCTGCTTTAGAACACAAGAGAGGGCAACCGTGTGAAACTTGTGAGAACCGCTGGTATAGACAGGCTACCAGCGTGACACAATCTGCTTTAGAACACAAGACAGGGCAACCGTGTGAAACTTGTGAGAACCGCTGGTGTAGACAGGCTACCAGCGTGACACAATCTGCTATAGAACACAAGACAGGGCAACCGTATGTAACATGTGAGAACCGCTGGTGTAGACAGGCTGCTGGCGCGTGTCCAGGTCCCATATGAAGGGCTAACGTTTGTTTGAATGTCGGATTTGTAGCGGCTTATCTCTCTTTGAAGAAAAAAAATGTCATTTTTTTAGGGGGAAGCGAAAAGTGGCAAAAAGAAAAAACTGGGATTTTTTTCCCGCTCTAGCTTAAGGGAAAAATATGTTAAAACGTTCGTAGGATATCCCAACTAAGAGACAATGTATGTATTTTGAAACAAATATTACAAATCTTTGTTAGATCTGTAATATTTGTCAATTAACTATAGTAAAATAAAATTAAAAGAAAGTTCTGAGTATATTATATATATATATATATATATATATATATATATATATATATATATATATATATATATATATATATATATATATATATATATATATATATATATATATATATATATATATATATATATATATATATATATATATATATATATATATCAAAGGCGTAGCGACGGGGGGGGGGGGGGGCAGCGGGGACGTATGTCACCGAGCGCCGACCTTAGGGGGCGCCAAAATGGGTTGTAAAAACAAGTTAAAATCTCAATTTAGCTGCATTTTTTCAAGTGCCACCCCCCCCCCCCCCCCCCCCCCACGGAGAAAAAAGTCTGGAAAAACACTGCGCCCGCTTTCATCCATCCAGACAGAGTAAACAAGTTAAATAAAAGCTTGTAAAAATACACAAATATTAGAACAAAAAAATCTTATTGTTCGTACTTTGTGTTAAACTTAGACAGAAATACGTATTACGGGGTGAATTTCAGCAGTTTCTAAATGTAACCAGAATTTTAAAATATTTAAATTTTTTTTTGCAATTCAAACATCGAAATGCAACACATGAGGAATCTATTGATTCAAAGACGGCCAACTTGGGTTTTATGGTGTACATTTTTTTGTTTTTAAATGTACTTTTGCATGATTTTTTTCAGAATGGTTATAGTATAAGTAACTTGTCTAAATTCATCATCTTTTACCGTTGACGCCCAGGGTAAATGGGACCGCCAGAGAAAGTTAGTCTTATGCAACTTTCTATGCTCCTGTCGCTAGTTTTTGCTATGTGTATCTAAATCTCCCACAAACTTCACAGTCCACTTTAAGGTGAGTAATCGAACATCATTGCTGTAATACAGGGGTCTCCAACCTACGGTCCGCGGGCCGGATGCGGCCCGGGAGGTCCTCTCATCCGGCCCGCGGAGATCTTTTTGTCCACAGAAAAAAACGTTTGTTGGTGATGGTGAGGAATTTTTGCCCAGAAAAATCAAAGACATGCCTAGAAGAAACTGGCCCCCGAAGTGAAATTTGATAGTTAATGCGGCCCTCGGACTGAAAAGTTTGGAGACCCCTGCTGTAATACAGGGCACATCCAGCGCCAACTTTCTTCAGTTACAACAGAAACAGATTCAATTTATAAGTCTCATAAAAACCTATAATTAAAGATAGTCTAGGGCCAGTGGATGAAATTTATCGTACATTGGTAGGCCTACTTACTATACAAAGCATCCAATATTTAGATGGAAGAGATGGTTGCTTTCCAGCATTCACTGATATACAAAAGAACGGTTAGGACATTTTTAAAAAAAAAAATCGGCATTCAGTCTCTTTCTTCGATAGTCAGTTATTTTTTTTTTCAAAAAATCTCGCTAGGCTTTAGTTATGCGTGTTTTATTGTCAGTTGTGCAGTTATTATCATTATAACTGATATATATATATATATATATATATATATATATCCCTGCTCTGGTACCAAGGGGTCAACATGACCCCAAGCCCTCTTTGGACCGATTTATTTTAAAAACTACCACGATTAATGACCTCGCCTGCCATGTATTTTTGTGTAAGACCTTCCTAAGTACGTTACACATGTTTGATAGTTTTTAAGTATTAATGATTATTTATTATTTGTTTTTACTTTCCCTTGGGGTCATATTGACCCCATAGTACCGTCAATGTGACGAAAGTATTTTCTTCTTATTTACATATTTTCACTGCATAATAACATGGCCACACGAAATAGATTTTCTGCAGATGCAGTTATGCAGTTATTAGATGATCTAAGTGACATAGATAGTGAAAACGAGGACATAGAAAATGATTTGAGCTGGGATGAAAGTGACAATGAACCAAGTAGAGAAGAACCAGATGTCACCAGTGAAGTTAGCGCTAATGAATACGAATCAGAAAATGAATCGGACGATTACGACACTCAAGATATTCTTGGAAAAGACGGCTATGTGTAGTCACAGAAGCCGAAAATTCTCCGAAGAACACTGATGCGAAATATTGTTACACAGAAGCCAGTTCCAAAAGGGAATGGGTGTTATGCAGACACACCATTGAAAGCATTTGATTTATTTTTTGACGATTCCATGATAACAGAGATATTTACCTGGACCAATACAACATTGAAAATGTGAAAGTCAGTTACACTAGAAACGCTGGATTTTTGTACCAAACCAACGTTGTAGAAATTCGAGCACTTATAGGCATCCTACTCTTCTTGGGTGCCACACAAACTCCAAGGATAGTACTGCAAGTATTTGGTCAAAAGATGGTACTGGTAAGCCAATTTGCATATCAGCGATGAGTCAAAAACGGTTTTTGCGGCTTGCGTATTGCCTACGTTTCGACAATTCCACAACGAGGGCCCAGCGAAGAGCTAACGACAAGTTGGCGTGTGTTCGCGCCATTTTCGGCAAATTTGTCAAAGCTTGTGAAGCAAACTACACCCCAGGAACTGGGTGCACAGTGAATGAATCTCTCCTTGCATTCAGAGGAAGATGTAGTTTCAAGCAATATATACCAAATAAACCAAGTAAATACGGCATCAAGATATATGTATTGGCTGATAGCAAAACGTTCTACTCGGTTTCTTCAAAAATTTATATGGGAGCTGGTACTCATGCACCAGGGATGCAAGTTCCATCCCAAGCAGTCTTGGATTTGGTACCCACAATTTCTGGAACAAACAGAAACATTGCAACCGATAACTATTTCACATCAATTGATTTGGCCAATGAACTAAAATCCAGGAATCTCACATTAGCTGGCACTATGAAAAAGAACAAAGCTTGCATTCCACCGTCATTTTTTATGAAAGCAGCAGAAGGAACAGTTCAATACGCCTTTGATCATGCAAACGATTACACTCTCTTGTCTGTTGTTCCAAAGAAGAACAAGATAGTTGTATTTCTTTCCACCATGCATTCGCAAAAATCGACTGATGCAGCTACTGGGAAAGAAGAAATAAATGTATTTTACAACAAAGAAAAAGGTGGTGTAGACAGCCATAATCAAATGTACAGCTTTTATACCACGGCAAGAAAAACAAATCGTTGGCCAATGAGGGTATTTTATGGAATGATTGATAGTGCTGCCTTGAACGCATTTGTTATTTTTACTGAAAATGTGCCCAACTTTGGAGAACGTAAGAAAAACAAACGACAGGCATTCTTGAAGAAACTGGCCATCGCTTTGATTACACCACATGCACATCAACGATTGGAGATGAAGCAGACGCCAAAAGATGTCAAACAGATCATCCGTACCTGCGGCATTGTGCAGGTACCAACACAAACAGCAAGCACCACACAACATCATTCAGGACGCAAGAGATGTTATATTTGTCCCAGATCTTGTGACAAGAAAACCAAACTAGTCTGTAATGAGTGCAATCAGTCTGTGTGTGAAGAACATACCAAAGGAGTTTGCAACCAATGCCAGCAATGACATTTATCCTACATCGTTTTTAAAGAACCTTAATATTGTCTACAAAACATGAATAAATATTTGTCCACATGTATTAACACATTGTAGTATTATAAGTATGCCAAAATTAAATAAATGTTCTAATAATCTAGTATTATTCTATTCATATAGCTTATTTTGCACCATGGGGTCAAACTGACCCCATGGTACCAAACGGGTAATTTTTTCTAAGGTACCAGAGCAGTTAAATTATTATGTAAAGCAACGTAGCAGTTTACTTTCTTAACTTTGATTGTGAATAATTCAATATCCTATCTTAAAAAAAACCTTATAACTCTTTTTCACATATTTTGGCGTCCCATTAGGGTCGGCGCCCAGGGCGCCCTCACCTAGCTACGCCTCTGCTCCCCAGCCCCCTCTCTACCCTCATCCACTTTTCTTCTTCAACTCTGACCACTAGTGGGGGTCTATATGTGCCATCAGTGGGCGTCTATATGTGGGAGAATTGTACCTTATTTCCTCCCTAACATGACAAATCACAAAATGTCAACCCCCCCCCCCCCTAAATCGGTCAAACTTTAATCAACCCCACCCCCTCTCTCAAATGTGTCAAACTTTAATCAACCCCATCACCACCACCCCCCCCCCCCACTCAAATGTGTCAAACTTTAATCAACCCCATCACCACTACCCCCTCTCTCAAATGTGTCAAACTTTAATCAACCCCATCACCACCACCCCCCACTCAAATGTGTCAAACTTTAATCAACCCCATCGCCACCACCCCCCTCTCTCAAATGGGTCAAACTTTAACCAACCCCATCACCACCACCCCCCCACTCAAATGTGTCAAACTTTAATCAACCCCATCACCATTACCCCCCCCCCCACTCAAATGTGTCAAACTTTAATCAACCCCATCACCACCACCCCCCACTCATATGTGTCAAACTTTAATCAACCCCATCACCACCACCCCCCCCCCCCACTCAAATGTGTCAAACTTTAATCAACCCCATCACCACCACCCCCCACTCAAATGTGTCAAACTTTAATCAAGCCCATCACCACCACCCCCCCCCCCCACTCAAATGTGTCAAACTTTAACCAACCCCATCACCACCACCCCCCCCCCCACTCAAATGTGTCAAACTTTAATCAACCCCATCACCACCACCCCCCACTCAAATGTGTCAAACTTTAATCAACCCCATCACCACCACCCCCCCCCCACTCAAATGTGTCAAACTTTAATCAACCCCATCACCACCACCCCCCCCCACTCAAATGTGTCAAACTTTAATCAACCCCATCACCACCACCCCCCACTCAAATGTGTCAAACTTCAATCAACCCCATCACCACCACCCCCCACTCAAATGTGTCAAACTTTAACCAACCCCATCACCACCACGCCCCCACTCAAATGTGTCAAACTTTAACCAACCCCATTACCACCACCCCCCACTCAAATGTGTCAAACTTTAACCAACCCCATCACCACCACCCCCCGTCCCACTCAAATGTGTCAAACTTTAATCAACCCCATCACCACCACCCCCCCACTCAAATGTGTCAAACTTTAATCAACCCCATCACCACCACCCCCCACTCAAATGTGTCAAACTTTAATCAACCCCATCACCATCACCCCCCCCCCCACCCACACACACAATCAACCCCATTTCCCATCACTTTTGTTTAAGGCAGCTGTTGCTATCAAAAATATTTATAGAGACAGGACAAATAGAAGGGTTAATTGACGGAAGTGGTAGTTGACGGAAGGGGTAATTGACGGAAGTGGTAGTTGACGGAAGGGGTAATTGACGGAAGTGGTAGTTGACGGAAGGGTTAATTGACGGAAGTGGTAGTTGACGGAAGGGTTAATTGACGGATGTGGTAGTTGACGGAAGGGGTAATTGACGGAAGTGGTAGTTGACGGAAGGGTTAATTGACGGAAGTGGTAGTTGACGGAAGGGTTAATTGACGGAAGTGGTAGTTGACGGAAGGGGTAATTGACGGAAGGGTTAATTGACGGAAGTGGTAGTTGACGGAAGGGTTAATTGACGGAAGTGGTAGTTGACGGAAGGAGTAATTGACGGAAGGGTTAATTGACGAAGTGGTAGTTGACGGAAGGGTTAATTGACGGAAGTGGTAGTTGACGGAAGGCGTAATTGACGGAAGGGTTAATTGACGGAAGTGGTAGTTGACGGAAGTGGTAGTTGGCGGAAGGGGTAATTGACGGAAGGGGTAATTGACGGAAGTGGTAATTGACGGAAGGGGTATTTGACGGAAGGGGTAATTGATGGAAGGGGTAATTGACGGAAGGGGTAATTGACGGAAGGGGTAATTGACGGAAGTGGTAGTTGACGGAAGGGTTAATTGACGGAAGTGGTAGTTGACGGAAGGAGTAATTGACGGAAGGGTTAATTGACGAAGTGGTAGTTGACGGAAGGGTTAATTGACGGAAGTGGTAGTTGACGGAAGGGGTAATTGACGGAAGGGTTAATTGACGGAAGTGGTAGTTGACGGAAGGGTTAATTGACGGAAGTGGTAGTTGACGGAAGGAGTAATTGACGGAAGGGTTAATTGACGAAGTGGTAGTTGACGGAAGGGTTAATTGACGGAAGTGGTAGTTGACGGAAGGCGTAATTGACGGAAGGGTTAATTGACGGAAGTGGTAGTTGACGGAAGTGGTAGTTGGCGGAAGGGGTAATTGACGGAAGGGGTAATTGACGGAAGTGGTAATTGACGGAAGGGGTATTTGACGGAAGGGGTAATTGATGGAAGGGGTAATTGACGGAAGGGGTAATTGACGGAAGGGGTAATTGACGGAAGGGGTAATTGACGGAAGGGGTAATATACGGAAAGGGTAATATCCTGCACCCCTGTTGAACATTCTGTTTTAAAATGAATGAAATAACATTGTTTTGGTTGAAAAATGCACGCGTTTCCAGGATCAAGAAATATTATGATATTTTTGGTGATAAGACAACAACAACAACTTGCTAGTTTCGATATTTTTATTGTTGAATGGACTTCAAATCAGTTTAACTTTTGAACAAAACTTTCGGATGCAAGAGAATTGTAAACCTAAGCTTATGTTTTCTTCGTTGAGTTCTTGACATTTTCTCTTCTGTGTTTGATCTTAATCAACCAGGGCACAGCATCGCAGTTTAGTGATACAGCCCAAGTCGCTACAGCCGTCACGGTACAGACCGACAACAAGCTTACCGTACGGACAGCGGCAACAACCTTCTCCCCGACGCAAACAAGGATGGACGGAGTGGTCTTCACATGCGCCGTAACGAGAAGGGTGGTTGCGGGGTTTGTGACACTGGCCTTTTTTAAAAGAATTCAGTCTCCCGTCGCCCGTTTGTCTGTAGATACCTGTGAGGAAATACCCAGTAGGACATACAGACCAAGAGTGTGTTCTGCTCATTGTTGATCGCCAGTTTGCTTCTTGGGTGCTGCCAGATCTGTTCCATTGTTCCGACACGCAGCAGTAACCGTGTCCCAAGTTGTCAACATCATCGTACATGCCTGCCTGGTCGTTTCGACAAAAACCGTCAAGGATTTGGATCATGGTGTTCTGCGTACCACATGAGGACCAGCCTGTTCTTCTGAGGGAGTCGTACCAGTTCTTAGTAACACACCAGGAGTGGACGCCAGCCGCAAGTAGCATCAGCGCTAGAACTTTCACTTCGATAAAGCCACGCATTGCTGAAATACATCGAACCAATCCATATTATAACTTTAGTAGCTACCCACTTTAAAAAAATTAACATATATATATATTTTTTTAAGTTCAAACTATAAGTTGTTGATTAAGGCGGCGGCCGAACTGGCGGTAGCTTAGGGCCCTAGATTCTAAGGTGCCCCCGAATAATCATTTATTAACGAGAGCATTTTATATACAGTTATCTGCAGCTAAATTAATTTACTAAAACTAAGCATTCACCCCTATCTAGTCAAATATTCCAAAACGTATCAAAATAGTTGTTTTAAAAACGCATATTATAATAATAAGAAAAGATAGGCATTGCGATTTTATTTTCTTTCTTCTCTCGTGTATACTAACCAAGGTACTCAGATTATTAACTTAAGTATAAACTTTGTTTTTGGTTAAGTCGATCAAAATCTATCAGACCTAATAGTGCACCAAACTTTAAGTTGTCGCCATAATGAAAAAATACTTTTTGTATGACATTTAAAAATGTGACCGTTCAGCCCTAATATGTACACTATATAATAAACATAACATACATTTAAAACATACATACTTCACCTTTTTATTGAGAGTCTCAGTAATAAGAATGATGGGAGGACTGTAGCTTTTATAGCAAAAGCTAAAATCGATCAATTGTAGGTGGGTCTAAGTGATATTACTCCGCCACTTTCCATTCGAGAACTATTTCCATAACCTAAGGTGCAATGTTTACTGTAGCTCCAAATTGTATATAAACCTAAAACATCTCGATGCCAACTTACGTTTAACTTTGATGTTAGGTTGAAATCGTCGATACACCCAACCTCCCCCCCCCCCCCTCCCCCATTCTTTTCACCCTCAAACGGATAATAACATTCACAATATATGAAGGTTAATATAATAAACTAGCCGTATCGGCTAGGCTTTGCTCCAGCCATTTATAGCAATACCGATATTTAAAAGATAACAAAAATACGTGTAGAGTTTAAATAATTTTTTTTTAAACAGTAATGTATAAAGCTAATTTAAATGATGGAAGATAAAAATGTCTATGTGAAAATGAAACAGGCTACACATCACCTGCTTTTCCTCGATAACACAGCTCCATACACACATGTGTTCGAGTTTTTTCAATAAAAAGGAGCCACGGCATGATGATACTTTCTCTCTCTTTCTCTCTGTGATACAATTAAAATATTAAAAATAATGTCGTCCACCTAACTGAATCAGCACCCAAATTATCGGTATTTTAGAAATTACTAGTAGAGTAATGGACAGCTTCCGGTTATCGAAGGTCACTGAAAAACAGAAG